TTTGCTATTATTTTCTCCCAATCTGAGGGCTGTCTTTTCACCTTGCTTATAGTTTCCTTTGTTGTGCAAAAGCTTTTAAGTTTCATTAGGTCCCATTTGTTTATTTTTGCTTTTATTTCTGAAATTCTGGGATGTGGGTCATAGAGGATCCTGCTGTGATTTATGTCGGAGAGTCCACGCTCATTCTTATAGACACCCTTCCAAACACTTGTAGGAGCAAGACCCTTTTCAACAGGTCTGTCAGTTGCCTAAAGGTGTGGTCCCAGGCTTCTTGGGTGTTACAGAGTACTCCTACTCTTCATCTTCACATAAAACCATTAAAGTATCTTAAAAATTCTAATGGCTTAGCATCTACATGATGTTTTCCATGTTGTTTTGCCCCCCACTCCCACCTTCTACTCTAAAAAGAGCACAAATTCTTAGACCCCAAATATCTTGATTTATACTTTGGGGGATATATTTAATGTTTTCAAGGAATGTCCTCCACTTGAATAAGCACATTTACAATATCTAAACCTTACTGAAAACCAGTCTTACTAGGTAGCTAATTCCTAAATTTCTGTTATTTCTAGGGTTACCAGCATTCTCTTTTCTTTCCTCCTTCCCTTCTTTCATCTAATCACCAAGCCTAGCCCATTGTTTGCTCTGAACTCATCTCCAGTTGGGTTTTATCCTCTGCAGCTATTGCCCAGGCCAGGACCATCAGTTCACTCCTGATGAGTTCAAGGATTTCAAAAGACTGATTTAGTTGGTAGTATGCCCAAGTCAGGATCAATAACACATGGACAAAACTCTTCCTCTGGCACTATTTGTCACAGATGTCTACAGTCTGGTGATATTAAAAAACCAGGAGCCTGAATCAGCATATTTTTATTGATTCCTCATTTTCTGATCACTTAATTCAAATTGCTTTGTCCAATCGCTAAGGTTTTCTGCCAGTGTCTTGTATCACCATGTTTATTGTTCACATTATTCCTCAACATGGAACACCTTCAGCCAAGAGAAGAAACCCAAGGTTTGCTGGCCCTCTTATGTGAGCTGATCATTCTCACCTCCATGCTTTTTGCCCATTTTATTCCACATGTCATGAATGCCAGTTCTGCCTTCATATTTTTCCCTCTCATTGTAGACCCTAGTCCTACATATTTTCCTATCCTAGGATTTCGTCTATAACCCTTTCCAACCTTCAAAATGAATGTTCTAGAGTAAGTGTTTTAGAATTTACTTAGAAAATACTATATTTACATTAATCTAGCTCTGACAAGCAGAAGTTCTCACATCAACTGGAAACAAATATCATGAGCTATGAGCTTCTTCAAGACGAGGACCATGTCTTATTTAACTTTATATCACCAGCATCTAGTTCAGTGCCAGGCACATCATTTAAGTGCAGTAAACATTTATTGAATAATCAACTACCGCTTTATGGTGGCAAGTTCCTTAAGTGAAGAAGTTTTAGCTTCCTACTATGGAAAACAGTGCTCACAATGCTAGCATCATAGGTCATGAACATTAAATATGAAAACCCATGTAAAGGTCCTAGCACAGAACTTGGCACAGAGTTCAGTCCCTGTTGAGTTCACACCTTTCTGTTAAATTTTTAGAATTGTCATCACAATTGTAGAGCTCCCATAATTGCATATCAGGGTATTTCTGTTAAAGCCTTTTCTGGAGTAGAACCAAATTCAAGTGTGGGTCCAGCAGGAGGAAAATCCACAAAGACTACTTCTTACAGTACCCTTTGTTATCAAGTTTTGGTTTGGGGCATGGCTATGACACATCTGACATGCAGATATATGCTGGCTTGCCTTTTTAGGAGAATCTATAAATGCATTATCTGTTTGGATACTAGGCTTCATCATAGCAAGTACCAGTTTCGATCTCCTTGCTTACTTTTCATACAGGAGAGAAATTATATGATCAGCAGGTTGAATAGCCTTTGAACACTTCAGTGTGTTCATTTTTGCAACAGTGAACTCTGCACATTTGTTTCCATCAGGGAGAGTGAAAAATATAATTCCTGAGGAGCTGGCAAATCACTTCCATAAACTTAAGAATTTTCATAATTTTGGAGTTGCAGTCATTCCTAAACTGAATTATGCTCTCAGTTTTTCTATCTGTAAAATAGGGGTAATAGTTTGAACTCCCATCCTCTTCATTAATAATTATAATACAGAGGAAAGAGCACTGGACTGGGAGTCAAGAGGACTGAGTTCTATCCCTTGTTATGACTGGCTGCGTGGACCTTGGGCAAATCACTTCAACTCAGTTTCCTCACCTCCAAAATGAGAAGTCTAAACGAGGCAAACTCTAAGTCAGCTCCCAAATTGCAACGGATATACTTTTCAAGAAATGAAGTGGCCCTTTTCTTTTACCCAGGGATGCCAGATGAGAGGAGACTTTCTGCGCACTGTATAGAGACCGGTTCATGGCCTGTGCTGTCCAAGGTCAGTATATGGCATCTATGTGCTGACCATATGTGTCACAGCACCATGCACCAGGCAGGAACTAAGAGGGTGAATGTGATTGAAGACAAGTACTCGAGGGAAGTAGAGGCATGTGAATTCTTTGGATATCTTTGCACAAAGATAATGATTATGTTTTGTGCAAAAGCAGAACCTGTTATCATTTTTTTCACATTTCCTAAGCTGCCCACTAACCCTCTGATTTTTTGGTTGGAGGAATTACCTGTGGGTATACCCCAGCAGAGAAAAGTCTGGAAAAGGAAGTGGAAAGTTGCCTGTTAAAGAGTGTTAGCCCTTCCTCCAGGGATGGACTCAAGTGTAGCAGGTGAAGAGCTGCCCCTGTTATTCACTTGATGATCATGCCAAGTTCAAGGCAGATCACTTCCAACCCCAGACCTTTCTGGATCCATATCGTACTTTAGAATCTGTATGTGCTTGTATATATTATTAACACCATCCTATTTCCCAGCTGCAGGAAAAGAACCACAGGATTTCCAGTCAGAGATTTGAGTTAGGCCTTGGGCAGGACTTTTCGGGTCTCTAAGCTGATTGATATAAGGATCAAAAGAGACAAGGGCATGTAAAGCGCTTTGTTCCAGGGTTAGTCACAGCTGCCCTGGCCCTCCCTCCTCTATACATCTCCTCCCCAAATACTGTTTCAGGGAAGTTTTGTTAAATTAACTAAGACTCATCCCTTTGTTAGGGATATTTGAAGAAGGGGCACCAGTACAGACCAGAGGCTTTAGAACCAGAGTACACAGGGCACTGCTGTCCTGCAGCTTTGAAGCAGTGTCCCTCAGAGGAAGCTCTGCTTCCGGTAGCATCATCTCACCCACCCCCACGCAGCCCCGCCTGGGCTGTCTTCCCAGTGACTGTAACTTGGTGGCATGTCACTTGACCTGCTTCCCCTCTGCCCATGCAGTCCCTCACTGTTGTGACCAGGGGCTGCCCCCTAGGGAGCCCTGCCTCAGGCTCTCTTCTCACAGAAAGGGTACCTCAGAGAGTCCTACCCCACTTGACTTGGGATGTGCATCATGGCAAGGAGGCCATATGCCTTGCGGCTGCCGGTGCCACAGCCCAGCCAAGTGCCCCTTCCAGTTCATAGCCTGTGACAACCATTGAAAATTGGGGATCTGAGTCACCCCAGAACCAGAGGTTAAGGAGTCTCTGCTGTGAAAAGATGCCTAAAGTTTCACCACCAGCCCACCTACTAAAAACTTTTGCTTTACTAAGACTAGAGGGACTATCTGAAGGTCAGTTTATAGTAGCTTGCGCCATTGTGGCACAAGGAGAGCACATGGGCTGGGGAGGCAGACTGGCCCTGAGTGGAAATCCCAACTTCACATTCACTGTTCAAGCGACATCTTGGGGCAAACTGCTGAGCCCGGTTCACACACATGTAAAATGGAGCCGCTGATGCCTCTGCACAGTTGTTGTGAGAATTAAACAGAACTGCATATTGTAAAGCACCCGGCCTATAGGGGCTGCTCCGAAGGCTTTTCTCTTGCTTCCTTCTCACCAGAGAATGACCAAATTATCTCAAGTATGACTCATTTAAATTTTTTTCTGTTAAAAAGCCAATCATGTCATACTTGATTATTCCTGACTGACCATTTCAATTCAGGTATTAAGGTATCCAAAATAAATGGATTTGTTTGCAGTGTTGACCTCCCACAAAGCAGGACAGTTTGACAGTAGGTCTGCCGGCTGTTACCCTCCCCTCATACCCCTCCCCACCCTACCAGCCCAATTCCAGCCCAAAAGTTGAAGGAAAAGGGTGTCTGAAAATCCTAGACACCAAGTAATTAGAAGCTTTTCATTCATGAAACTATCCTTTTTCCTGGGAAGCCCTCACTAATGGAGAGGCTCATTTTGATTTCCTGGTTTATGATTTATATTGAGACCATTTGTGTATTTGTATGTGTATTTCAGAAGTAACTAATCCCAAAACAGCAGAAAATTACCTTAGTCTCTATAGTAGCCAGTCTGTCCTAAGTATCTCATTGCATATCTCAAATCTTGTCACTGTTTGTCTGTCTAGGTCAGACAGCTCATTAAGACAGCCAAAATGACAGGCTCTACAATGTTGTGGGCCCCTTTGTTTCCTTATGCATAGACAAAATGTAGACGATGTCACCCTCAAAAGACATAGTGGACGGATCTGAACAATCTTAAAGAACCACTGAAAAAACTTAACTACTACTTGCAATATAAATGTTATTGTATTTTCGCTTATTTTAATTCCCCTTCATATTTAGGAAACTGTGGTATGCTGTAAAATGGAAATACATCCAAACACAGTCCACACAAGTTATATCTTAGTTATTTATCCAAGTTCCTTAAATCCACAAACAAATAATGACCAGAAGTACAGTAAGTCTTTAGTTCTAAAGGATAAAACTATGTTTCTCTGTACTTTCATAGTACATTGCTTAAAAAAAAATTTTTCTGCAATTCAATTTAAAATACCCAAGTTGCTAACTTCCAAGCAAAGCAATCACAAGAAGGAATTCTCTCTGCCTGAAATTGGTAGCAGTAACAGAAATACAAGTCATAGGCAGCTTTTAAAATCAAGCATGATCGTGTTGTGCTGATTAAGGAGCATTTTCTTAACCAAGCAATTGTAGGTCCCAAATTTTCTGGGACTGTCCTGATTTTGAATGCCCTGACCCACTGAACTCTGTATTTAGGCTAGGTATCCCATTTTCTGGTTCCAAAAAGGTGTCAGCACACGGTTAATTTAAAGATAAGTGGCACACACAATTGTTATAAAAAACCAAAGTATCATCATCCCAATTTGTCTTTATTGAAACTGAAATTTTCTAAAGTCTCTTTGCTTAGATCCGTGATATCTCTATAATCTTTCCAGGTTCAATTGGAAAAATTTTTATTTCACTCTTACATCTTTTTATGCACTCTGAGTACCCCAAATGGGATTATAATTACACAGTCTAATTGATGGAGTTCAGATGAAAAAAATTGTTCCTCATCTCTAACTCCAAATTTCTAGAAAGATTTAAGGCTAATCCTGGGTACCTGAAAAAAAAAGGAAACAAGGCACAGATGCCTGGAATTTCTATTTTTAGCTTTGGAATGAATCTTTTCTTATGGTAATGAAAACAAATAGAAAAATGCTTGCTTTTGTGCTATGAAAGAGAGAAGAGAAAAACTGGTCCATAAATACTTGCAAAAAAAGACCACTTCCTACTGGAATAGAAACTGGATTAAAAAGCTGAAGTTTAGAAGTAAAATTATTTTGATACTCAAATATTTTAGCAGCTTAAAAATGCACTAGGAAAAAAATTCACATATTTCCCCCTAGCAGAGCATACCATTCAGGGTGATACTTGCACACTCCTGTATTGCCACAGTGTGGATTTTTTCCCCTCAAATGAAAACCTATAGAAATAAACCCAGAAAAAGGAGAGATTGCTTCCCCCTTCCATCCTCATGTCAATAAAATATTTTAAGTGAACAGTTTTCTGATCACAAAATTCAAGTCCAAGTTGTTTTAAAAAAGCAAGAAACAGTTATTTAATAGAATACATTCTATTAAAAGTTAGCCAAGACCAACTAATAAGACCTCAAAAAAGGAACATATTTCAAAGAATTTTGTTCTCTTCAATAGTTGCATGAGTTGTTTTTTGTTCTTTCAGGAAAATGTGCAAATATCAAGGTTACCTGGGTCTGCTGGTCACTTCTAGTTTTGGACTCTTGAAGATGGTGAGTTTTGCTAATGATGCGCGGCTGTTTAAAGAACCGGGTAGCTTTTCTGGCAATCACTCTTTGTGTGCCATCTTTTATAAAGGTGCTTCTTGTTGCTAAGAGATCAGTTGCTTAGAGACCAAATCATTAAAAAAAATATATATGTCAGAGGCCAACATAAATTATAACCAAATTTTGTCATTTCAGCTCACCCTCTTAATGTTTGGCTTTTGTAATAGATCGTAACGTACCAAGAGAAGCCAATTACTAATCACAAATAGAAAACGGACCATGAGGAGGAGAAAAGATCTGTGCGTACGCTCCCGTGGACGGGGAGTAATACCACTGATTCCCTGGGAGAGAGTTACAACCTCTCGGGGCTCTCTGAAACTTTGACTCCTCATGGGGGGTCTGAGATGTACATTTACGTACACACATATATCTGTCCCAGGTAAAACTTGGGTGCAGTTTGGAGTATGAAGACAGGGCAATTGTGGAGCTACTTTTGTCTTTTTCAAAGGAAAATTAAGAGAAAAAGATGCTGCACTTGGAAAAATGTTCAGTTGGGAAACTGAAGTGATCTTAGCCTTCAGCCAGATATTTCTGTGTGTGAACAGCTGCCACTGCTGCAGGTCTGTATCGTGCTGGGAGGAGGGGGCTAGTGTACAGATCTGTCTTTTATCTTCTCCCCTGTACTCAGATGCAGCACCATCAAGGAGACAGCAATAAAAACAATTGGTTAAGTAGGTAAGGTTTGGCCTTGGGGTTCTTTCTCTCCCACTGTGTGGTGACTTTGCCCATTGAGAGACTCTTCCCTCAAATTAGCTGTCATTCAAGTATTACCCCCGCGTCCAGGGGCATTTACATTTTAGGAATATATTTTTAAATGAAAGACTAAGAATGGTAGTATGCAAAGCTTCTTAACAGGTAGGATAGGTGATGTGGGGGAGCAAAATAAAGCTATATACACTCCTTAACTGTATGACTTCATAACACCTCGCCATCCTCCATCTCTTTTCCTACCTCCTCCATCCTTCACAGTTCTCTTTGGTCCCACCTTAGGTGAGAAGCAAGCAGGCAATAAGGGATCAAATACTTGGAGTTAAGAATCAGGTAAGATAAAAAGAGTACCTAGAATTTTAGAGGTTTATATATATATATATATATATATATATTTTAAACAAGCCTCCAAAGTGCTTGCCATTAGAAAAGAATTCATGCCTGTCTTGATTCCTAAATAGTGTTGTGATGAACACATTATGTGGGAGAATGTGGGGCCAGGGCTAGGAGGTGGGGTGGAAGCATCAGGTGGGGTGATGAAGTGGTCTGGCTCTCATTCATTGCTTCATCCTGATCTCTGTCAGGTTACAATCATCTCATCACTCATTTACAGAGTAGATGAAAGACCCACCAGTATCAACTTATTTAGAGATATATGGCAGTTGGGAAAAAAAAAATTACAACCTGTGCAAATGGAATGGGGCTAATGCTCAGCAGAAATTCATTATAAGAGGAAAGGAAATGCTGACTTTGCTCAGCCCAAGCTACGAGTCAAATGGACATAGGACATGTGAATGTTGCAGAATAAACTCAGGTATGTCACCAAGATTTCCCTTAAAGTCTCTTCTCCCTTTCTAATCCCCCCAATTTTTCTTTATTGCCTATTTTTTTTAGAAAGAAATGGGAGAAGAAAGGGAACAGATCTGAGATAGAGCAATTAGGGACAGAAAAAGGCAAGAGAAATTAAAATTCCCAAGTACACAATTGGTCCTTAGTTGAAGGAATGAGAGAAATGTAGAGGAGGTTAGGGGGAAAGAGGTCATGAAGTTGATTGTATGTTTCTTAAGGCAGGGACCATCTTATACTTTTCTTTCCCCAATTCCACATACGTTGTACAGGGCTTTTGCATTTAGACCTCAATCAAATGGTTTTGTTAACTTCCAAGTCAAAAGAAAAAAAAAACAGGGCCTGAAGAGGTTAAACTATTCCTTGGCCCTATACCCATGTGCCTGGTTCTCTCCAAAGGAGCAGGCTCTGCAGGTGTTTATATTTTGGAGTCCAATCTGAAAATAAAACCTGCCCTTCTTCTTATCCATCTGCCCTAATCTGTCTACTCCTTTGGCTCTGCTTTGACTCTCCCCACCTTTGTGGCCATTTGCTTTGGATTCTTCACCTCTACCTCTGTGACATGAGGCCCCTGCCTGTCTTTTTGGCCACCTCTTGCCCATTGGAAGGTGATTCAGGCACCACTCAGGATACAAATCTATGGCCAAGCTCCAGGCTTTCACCTGCCTAGGTGGAGGTGAGAAATGCAGTGGGTCTGTGAAGGACCCACTCAGTTGTCAACCCTGTGTGATTGAAGAAAATAGGCTTGGATCCATGAGGCCTCTGCCTACAAGTGTCCCAAACTGAAATGACATTTTTCACAGGAAATAAACTGTTTGCACCAAGGAATGTGATCTGGTGTTATTTGGGATCCTGCAGTGCAACAGGCCACTTTTTCCACAGAAGCATGGACCAAAGAGCCCCCACAGCCTGGTTCCACCACTGCCATGGTGCTGCTCAGCCCACATAAGCTCCATCTCCCAACCTCAGGAATGAGGGGGAAGCTGGGAATCCAGAACAGTAGGGAGATGGTGCACTGAGAGACATTGAGCCCCAAGGCATACTCTGAAGAAGTAATTGCCATTTCCAGTGCCTTTCCTTGATGAAAGCAGTTTTCTTTGATGTCACTCCCAACAGGACACCCTGTTGCATCTATTGCCTCCTACCCAACTGCCAGTAATTCCTCCAGGACTTGCCTCTCTTGACTGAAAACTGAAGACACTTTCTAGAAATAGAAGAGAACCTACTCCTATCCTGGAAAGGTTCCAGTATAGTGGCCTGCAAGTTCCGTGCCTAGTTCTCCAGGAAACTGTCCCCAGAAGAGGGCAAATGGCCTATCTAGAGGAGCACGCCCTACTAGATAAGAATGGAGACTGCTTCAAGTGCTTGTGGTCTTCTCTCGAGGGACACCTCTGCATGCAGGCAGCCTACAGCAACTAGTAAAAGCTTAAGCAATACCAAACAAGGTACCTTGCCAATGTCGTGTGCTGGGCAGAAAGCTACTCTTAAAAAGCCAGAGTACCGGAGGTCCTCAGAGGAGGAGCCGCCCTGGAAAAGTCTCCTCTAGCCGTCAGCACAGTGGTTGCTATTAAAGAACAGGATTTGGACAGTGGAGGGCAGCAGAACACACCTGCCTCAAATTGAACTTCAGGGCAACTTTGGGAGGTGTGAGGTGAAGGTACAGAGAGGATGTGTCTCTCCCAGAGACGGCTGTTCGTCCTGGCTAGAAGTACTGCAACCAAGCTTGCCCTTGTGCTGATTGCCTCTCTGGACTTCAAACTCTTGTTGAAATCCACAGGGACTTCTGGCATGCTAAAACCTGAGACACAGAGGCAGGCCTCAAGGCTCACGTTATTGCTGCCTTCCCTGATGGCATTTCCTCCTGGTCTCACCTTCTCCTGGCAGTGATGAAGGCTTTAATAAAGAGGTCATGAAGTTGATTGTATGTTTCTTAAGGCAGGGACCATCTTATACTTTTCTTTCCCCAATTCCACATACGTTGTACAGGGCTTTTGCATTTAGACCTCAATCAAATGGTTTTGTTAACTTCCAAGTCAAAAGAAAAAAAAAACAGGGCCTGAAGAGGTTAAACTATTCCTTGGCCCTATACCCATGTGCCTGGTTCTCTCCAAAGGAGCAGGCTCTGCAGGTGTTTATATTTTGGAGTCCAATCTGAAAATAAAACCTGCCCTTCTTCTTATCCATCTGCCCTAATCTGTCTACTCCTTTGGCTCTGCTTTGACTCTCCCCACCTTTGTGGCCATTTGCTTTGGATTCTTCACCTCTACCTCTGTGACATGAGGCCCCTGCCTGTCTTTTTGGCCACCTCTTGCCCATTGGAAGGTGATTCAGGCACCACTCAGGATACAAATCTATGGCCAAGCTCCAGGCTTTCACCTGCCTAGGTGGAGGTGAGAAATGCAGTGGGTCTGTGAAGGACCCACTCAGTTGTCAACCCTGTGTGATTGAAGAAAATAGGCTTGGATCCATGAGGCCTCTGCCTACAAGTGTCCCAAACTGAAATGACATTTTTCACAGGAAATAAACTGTTTGCACCAAGGAATGTGATCTGGTGTTATTTGGGATCCTGCAGTGCAACAGGCCACTTTTTCCACAGAAGCATGGACCAAAGAGCCCCCACAGCCTGGTTCCACCACTGCCATGGTGCTGCTCAGCCCACATAAGCTCCATCTCCCAACCTCAGGAATGAGGGGGAAGCTGGGAATCCAGAACAGTAGGGAGATGGTGCACTGAGAGACATTGAGCCCCAAGGCATACTCTGAAGAAGTGATTGCCATTTCCAGTGCCTTTCATTGATGAAAGCAGTTTTCTTTGATGTCACTCCCAACAGGACACCCTGTTGCATCTATTGCCTCCTACCCAACTGCCAGTAATTCCTCCAGGACTTGCCTCTCTTGACTGAAAACTGAAGACACTTTCTAGAAATAGAAGAGAACCTACTCCTATCCTGGAAAGGTTCCAGTATAGTGGCCTGCAAGTTCCGTGCCTAGTTCTCCAGGAAACTGTCCCCAGAAGAGGGCAAATGGCCTATCTAGAGGAGCACGCCCTACTAGATAAGAATGGAGACTGCTTCAAGTGCTTGTGGTCTTCTCTCGAGGGACACCTCTGCATGCAGGCAGCCTACAGCAACTAGTAAAAGCTTAAGCAATACCAAACAAGGTACCTTGCCAATGTCGTGTGCTGGGCAGAAAGCTACTCTTAAAAAGTCAGAGTACCGGAGGTCCTCAGAGGAGGAGCCGCCCTGGAAAAGTCTCCTCTAGCCGTCAGCACAGTGGTTGCTATTAAAGAACAGGATTTGGACAGTGGAGGGCAGCAGAACACACCTGCCTCAAATTGAACTTCAGGGCAACTTTGGGAGGTGTGAGGTGAAGGTACAGAGAGGATGTGTCTCTCCCAGAGACGGCTGTTTGTCCTGGCTAGAAGTACTGCAACCAAGCTTGCCCTTGTGCTGATTGCCTCTCTGGACTTCAAACTCTTGTTGAAATCCACAGGGACTTCTGGCATGCTAAAACCTGAGACACAGAGGCAGGCCTCAAGGCTCACGTTATTGCTGCCTTCCCTGATGGCATTTCCTCCTGGTCTCACCTTCTCCTGGCAGTGATGAAGGCTTTAAGACATCACATGTCATCGCCCCTTTTGGCACATCATCACAGCCTTACTCAGCAAAAAACCCTCTAAAAAACCTTGCTCCCCCATCCAGATTGTATTCCTGCTTTTTTGGGGTATACATCTGTCCACAGGCACACGCTCCAACAATTAGCTAAAGAGCAAGGCCAGACACAGTGTCTCACTTGGGGGCTCAGGGAAGATTCACCCTTGTCCCCGTCACCAGTAATGGACCTGATCCAACTATTCAGATAATGTACCTGTAACAACCCTCCGCCCCTTCTCCCCTCCTTCTCCACCCCGCCACGGGAAATATGGCTTCCACCCATCCCACATCCCCAGAGCTCTGGTCATACCAACACTCTGGCAGCCAGCCTGCCATTGGGAGAGCTACAGCAACCCCCTTCCAGAAAGGCCTCAGCTGCACCTTGCTCTGACATGTTGAAGACTGCAACAAAGAGCCCATCCACCACCCCTGGTCTCCAGAGCAAGCCTGTATGTCCAACCCATCTGGTTGGTTGCCAGACATTCAAGGCAGGGAGCTCTCGGACTGCAATTTGTATGATAATTAACATAACAAAAGAGCCCAGCCTGATAAGCACCACCACACAATCCAATTTCATTGCTTTTCTTGGAGAAAGAACCATGATGTTCTCTTCATAGATTGTCTGGCCCTCATTGACCCTCTTTCGCAGTTGGTAATTTACCTCTAGTCACTGCCTCAGACAACTTTCAGGTTATTAATTATACCCATCTGTTGAGTAGTTTCCTGGGTGAGAAAAAAAAGTGAGAGAAGGAATAGAAGAATATGCTGTGGTAGAAAAATGTATTTGAAAACAGAAGTCAAGGTCTGGTGCTCTTGGACTTGTGAGGATTACATGTCCTCACAAGGTACATACATTAATATCTACACTGAACAAATTCCACTATAAACTAGCTCTAGAATCTTCTAATCCTCCTCAAGAGAGATCAAAGGGAGATAATTAGTAATTGCAACACAATTATAAGCCAACAATGTTGCTTTAGCAAAGTACAAATAAACTGAGCAAAATTCTCTTAAAACTGATCTCTTTCCCTTCTCTGATCCACCTCTGAGTCAATCTATCCCTGTCTTCCCATTCTCCCTGTACATCTCCCATCAAGCCACCTCTCATCTGCAGGGAAGCACTCTCTCTCCTGCCCCATTTGCGTGCATACCTTCTCAAGCCCGGGACAGACACACATCTTGAAATGAGGTGGGCTAAGATAAAGGCCAAAAAAGCACTAAACTAAACCGCTCTGTCTTCAAGCACCTGTTTTGTTGGTTTTTGTTTCCCTCCTTTAAAGGTTGATTCCTGCCTGAACCACAGTTTTCAGCCAGCAGAGTACACAGTGCTTATTTCACTTTACACACTGCATTTTGAAACCAAGTGTGCCGTGACCACCCGGCTTGTCCAAAGTCCACTGTGTAAGGGCATCAGTCCTCTGTTAGCTTAAAGGGAATCCTCCTCAAAAGAAGAAGTGTTCTCCAGTTGCCCGTGCTTCCGACACCATTACCTCCTTCCCACTCAAGGTTTCCCAATTGTTTTCATCCTGCAGGAGATTCATTGATTTGTAAACATAGCGACTAAACAGCAACAAAGCATGCAGCAGGCATCCAGTTGAAGACTAATGAAAAAAAAACACCCAGGAGGAAATGAAAGGCAGAGATCCACACAGAGGAGATATTCTGGTTTACATACAAACAAGAAGTTGAGACCTCATGCCCATGACATCTTGAGAGGTAAACAGTGGCATATTCAGAACACACCTCTAGGAGGCCTCTGTAGGGGACAGAAGGTGCTGCCCCAGTCTTGCCAAGGATGATCCCAGCAGAAAAGGCTTTTGATCCATCCCACCCATCATTTCTATCCATATGTTGGCATCAGGAGAGGGCAGGGTTGACAGCTGTTGGGGTTTGCTCCTGCATGTTCCTCCTACACATAACTCATCCAGATGACACCCACTCCAAGTGAAAAATAGACCCTCTGGGAATGAGCTGGAAAATTTATCAGTCTTCCTTGCCTATCCTGTCCTTTCCAATTCCCTAGATCAATCCCAATCAAAAGAAGAGAAAACATAACTTTCAAGGAAAGGAAAAACGACCCAGCCTTGTCATTCAAGAGAGACAGTGGCTAACCACTGCCACAGGGTTAAGTGTGATTGTTTCCAAGAGGCACTGCTAAAGCAATGTAGATTTACAATGCTTTAGCTGACCAGGAAAGGTCTGTTTTGAAGTGACCAAGAAACGGAGGCCCCTTTTACTTAGGGCTTTTCAGTCTGCTGCTTCCTTGAAGCCGCAGCGAGCCTCTTCCAGTTCTCAAGCAGTTGCAGCTCAGGCTGTGGCACACGACCTTGCTGGAGGGCACCTGTTCCCACACTGGCTCCCCAGGCCCCTCCCTCCTGTCCCGGGCACAAGCACCTTTGCCCTAACTCTGCCCCTGCGGTCTCCCTCTTACTTTCAAATGGCACCCCCTCCTCTAACTGTTCAGTTAAAAGCCCCAAAGTAATTATTATACTGATTCATGATAATCTGCAGTGATGCAGGGCTAAAACTATTAAAGGAAACAAAAGTACTGCCTTCTGGATGTCCAACCCAAAGCAGGTCCAGGTGATTTTATTGGTAACTAATAGGAAATTCTGACATCTTTGAGGTGGGGTGTGAACTGAAGGTAGAATGTTAAAAAGTTCAATGCCTCAGTGAAATAGCCCATGGATGACTGAATTTGATATATTAGTAAAGAGTTGATATATTAGCTAAAGAGTATTATTGGAGTAAAATATTAAGTAATAGAAGGCTGTTTTCATGTAGTAGTTTAAAAGCACCATACATGTGACAAGTCATCTCAAGGCACTAAAGTCTCTATTTTTTCCCCAACCTATCTCTCCCCCAAATTCATGAACCCCTCAAGAGTAAGGACCATGTCTTACTCATCTTCTAATCCCTGGGCTGCTGGAGTCTGCAGCCCTTAGTAATTGGACAGTGAACTTTGCTGTTTACCCTTCACCTCATGTCCCCAGCCCCACCCCACCCCCCACCTTCCCTGGTGCCCCTCAAGGCCTGACAGCTGAGCTACCTGAGCTCTCAATCCTGTCACGTTCCCAGACTGATCATGTCTTGACACAAGGATTTTTATTCAAGTAGCCACATCTCTGTTCACAGTTCAAAGTGTGGAACCAACTCACTGTCCGTCCCAAGTTAGAAAACTTGGGCCTTGGTGCCTCGGAGCTGACCCCTAGCGTTCCACATTGTTACTCAAGTCAGGTTCTCTGCCATAACTCCTTGCAATTCCCCTGCTGAAACACGGACTGTTGCGCCTAAGTGTTCAGTACTGAGTAGGGATTCATCTGACCCCGTTTCCTTGGTCTGGGTGAGCTGTCTAATAAGCACGCCAGCTCACTACCGCCCTGCCGTGCACGCTTCTGCAGCCCACTACATGGAGAGCAGTCACTTATCCCCCAGCCTGTTCCCCTCCCCTCCCCCCATCCCTTCCTTCCTGGAAACTGAAGCCCTAATTTGACCCCCTGACCCAACAGTCTACTCCCAGTTAGACTCAGACTATTCTCAGTGCTGACAGCAGCCTCTCTGCCCTCAGTCTGGCCTCTGCTTTGCCCTTCTGATGGGACACCCCCATCTCCATTTCCCGAACCACCCCCCAACCCCCGGTACTGGCCATTTGTTTAAATCAAGGCAGGGGATTACTGAGCCCTGTGCCCTCCTCTCCCAGCTGGCCCTCCACTTAGCATATGGCCACAGATAGTAAGGGGGCCCTGACATCTCCCAACCTTTCTTGGCAACCTTCAACAAAGGTATCTGCAAGTAATGGTGGTGAGCCCACCCCCAACACACAAGCACACACACAGACACGCATACACACACACACACACACACACACACACACAGACACTGGATTCCAGCATCCTTCTTGCACTGTTAAGAGAAATGGAAGGTGAACTAAGTGGGGAGGGATTTCTCTGAAATAGGTATATTGCTGTAGAACTAGGGTTTGGGGTTAGTTACTTCCTTCACGGGAGGAGGGGTAGGGGTACAGTGCCCTAGTAATGAGACATGCTGAATTGGTGGGGACAATCCCACTTTCTGTGGTGCTTTATTCATTTCAGTGAATGTAATTTACTTTGTGCTTTACTAAATACACAAGTCCTTACATTTCAAATGCCTTGTTGCACTTTATATGCATTTCCAAAAACATTTTAAAAGAATTCCTTCTCAAATCATGAATTGGGGGAAAGAGGGCCCCCATGTGAGTAGGTGGCTCCCCGGCATCATTCAGGGCATGGAGCAGCTCTCCCCAGGGGCCCTGCACCTGACTCTAACCTCAGGCTTCATGTTACAAGAGTCCTGCTCTCATCCACAGGGACATCAGCTTGGCTCTGCTTGTCATCACTCTTGGGTTTCCTCTCACGTAAGGCTGCAAACTCCCCTCCAGCTTTAGCTGGGTGAGTGCTTTGGAGCTTCCAGCCATACTCAGATGGCAGACTTGCCTGTTGAACTCTCAGCTGCCCACTGTGTCCCCTTTTTTCCCTACTCCCCTCAGACAGGCAGGATTCCCGCACCATCCTCTCCACACTCCTTGCCAAAAAGCTTTCCTGAGTCAAGCTTTTACAAGTCTCTTCTTGTAAATGGGAGGTAACCCCAGCACCTTCTCTAGAGCTATTAGCTTTTTAAGCCTTCCCAAGTTAGAAAACTTGGGCCTTGGTGCCTCGGAGCTGACCCCTAGCGTTCCACATTGTTACTCAAGTCAGGTTCTCTGCCATAACTCCTTGCAATTCCCCTGCTGAAACACGGACTGTTGCGCCTAAGTGTTCAGTACTGAGTAGGGATTCATCTGACCCCGTTTCCTTGGTCTGGGTGAGCTGTCTAATAAGCACGCCAGCTCACTACCGCCCTGCCGTGCACGCTTCTGCAGCCCACTACATGGAGAGCAGTCACTTATCCCCCAGCCTGTTCCCCTCCCCTCCCCCCATCCCTTCCTTCCTGGAACTGAAGCCCTAATTTGACCCCCTGACCCAACAGTCTACTCCCAGTTAGACTCAGACTATTCTCAGTGCTGACAGCAGCCTCTCTGCCCTCAGTCTGGCCTCTGCTTTGCCCTTCTGATGGGACACCCCCATCTCCATTTCCCGAACCACCCCCCAACCCCCGGTACTGGCCATTTGTTTAAATCAAGGCAGGGGATTACTGAGCCCTGTGCCCTCCTCTCCCAGCTGGCCCTCCACTTAGTATATGGCCACAGATAGTAAGGGGGCCCTGACATCTCCCAACCTTTCTTGGCAACCTTCAACAAAGGTATCTGCAAGTAATGGTGGTGAGCCCACCCCCAACACACAAGCACACACACAGACACGCATACACACACACACACACACACACACACACACAGACACTGGATTCCAGCATCCTTCTTGCACTGTTAAGAGAAATGGAAGGTGAACTAAGTGGGGAGGGATTTCTCTGAAATAGGTATATTGCTGTAGAACTAGGGTTTGGGGTTAGTTACTTCCTTCACGGGAGGAGGGGTAGGGGTACAGTGCCCTAGTAATGAGACATGCTGAATTGGTGGGGACAATCCCACTTTCTGTGGTGCTTTATTCATTTCAGTGAATGTAATTTACTTTGTGCTTTACTAAATACACAAGTCCTTACATTTCAAATGCCTTGTTGCACTTTATATGCATTTCCAAAAACATTTTAAAAGAATTCCTTCTCAAATCATGAATTGGGGGAAAGAGGGCCCCCATGTGAGTAGGTGGCTCCCCGGCATCATTCAGGGCATGGAGCAGCTCTCCCCAGGGGCCCTGCACCTGACTCTAACCTCAGGCTTCATGTTACAAGAGTCCTGCTCTCATCCACAGGGACATCAGCTTGGCTCTGCTTGTCATCACTCTTGGGTTTCCTCTCACGTAAGGCTGCAAACTCCCCTCCAGCTTTAGCTGGGTGGGTGCTTTGGAGCTTCCAGCCATACTCAGATGGCAGACTTGCCTGTTGAACTCTCAGCTGCCCACTGTGTCCCCTTTTTTCCCTACTCCCCTCAGACAGGCAGGATTCCCGCACCATCCTCTCCACACTCCTTGCCAAAAAGCTTTCCTGAGTCAAGCTTTTACAAGTCTCTTCTTGTAAATGGGAGGTAACCCCAGCACCTTCTCTAGAGCTATTAGCTTTTTAAGCCGGTTTCCAGTGAATCAAGGAATAAAGACTGGCCCCTTTGAAGGGATTTATCATTAACCCTTAGGGGGCTGGAAGAGCCTGAGAGAGGCTCTTCCAGTGCCCCAATATCCTATACAACATTCCTGCTACCAGACCCAGCAGAGGCTGGCAAGGTTCAGTGAGAGCAGCCCCCACATTTCTCTGGCATGGCCCTGCCCCACCACTCAACTTCAGGCCCACTGCTGAGTGAATGGAAGGCAGACAGCAGGTGGGAAACTGAGGATGCATTGCAAATGCACCTTTTAAAAGACTGTTATCCCTGGCTGGTCCAATCCTGGGTGAGCCCATACTTAGCCAGCTCCTAAAAGTTTCCTTTTATCTCACATTCCTGCTCAGATTATTCCCAGGAACCACTTGGGAAAGAGGCCTTGTGTTTCTCTTTGCACAGTGCCTGGCACATAGTAAGCACTCAGTAAATGTTAGCTATTAGACATAAAAGAACAAATCCAGAATGAAATCCAGGATGCTTACATAGGAGCTGCTAGGAATAGCCAGGGGACCAGAAGAGTGGTGGGCAG